GTCCAACTATAAGCTACCAATGATCTTTACTTAAATTATGCCATATACTGTACATCATGACCATTGCTAGCTATAGTTAATTACCTTAGTTTAGCTAAACGGGTCTAGACTCCAATATAAGGTTAACTCATACATAAATAAAAATTGAAAAAAACTTGATAAAAACAAGAGAAACCAACCAAAAAGTGACAATTTTTGGTACATACACCTTTTTTTAAAACATAAAGTTAAGTCATACATACACCCTTTTTTTCGAACACCTAGACCATTTTTAAAAGACATTTAAATAGGCACCGACTTAACTTTTTTTCTTTGAAAATTAAATTGTAAACCGCAAGAAATCTCACATTATCAAACTAAGAAACGACCTAATTATCAAATGAATTAGCTTTTACCTTGAATCATCTCGTGGAAAAGCTGGCCATCGCGGGTAACAGCCATCATGACATTAGGTATACCAAGGGGAAGCTCATGCCCCAAATCAACTTGCCAAAAATGGAAAACTTTGCCATAAGTCTTTGCGACTTTGTCAAGATCTTGACGTTGAATGGCACCAGGAACACCAGGCATGAACAAGAACCCTCCTTTCACTTCCCACTCGTGCGTGTGCCAAAGCTTCTTCTCCTCGTCGGGCAAAGTCATGAACAGCTTCTCTGTTACTATGTACTCTAATCCGATCAGACGAGCGTTTGCATCCGGACTGTCGTAGATCAGACACTGACGCATCTCTTCGTTCACGTGACTGCAGTAATGGTGTGCCTCCACTTGTCGTGTCATGTCGTATGAATAGAAATGGAACCTGCCACGGTGCCACCTCAAGAAATGAAATTACACACTTTCTGAAAATAACTACTACAAAGAGATAATTAATTGATTATTTTCTTTTCATTTTTGGGTAAAGAACTATACCGTTCTTGAGATTAAAAAAAAAAGATTAGATCCAAGGTAACTCCGAACAGAGACAACTTAGAAAGAACATGTACACGCAATCATATATTTCTCTCAACTTGCAAACTGAGAATGGAGAAGCACAGATAATACAAGAGGAAAAGGTGGAATTGATAAAGATCGGGTTTACGTACGCGCAGAGGTGTTGGTGGATTTGGTTAACCGGAGCGAAACTTTGGACGGCGGAGGCAGCGGTGTCGATTATGGAGGTGCCCGTTTTCGTTGCCTCCCCTGGAATCGCCGGTCCAGACGTCGTCGATGAGTGGACAGCCTTCTCCATTTTTATTTAATTATTTGCTCTTCCTCTCCAAATTTTGCAAAGCAACTAAACAAACAAAGTAATTGCAAAGGGATAATAGATCATTAGATCATGCATACCCTTCATACTTGTGTGATCTAAAAAAGGAGTGTATGCATGAAGCGTGACATGTGGCAGTCCCTGAAAGTTACATGTGGCAGTTCTTTAGGGCACGAACAAGTCAAATGTTTTAAAGATTTTGGAGTAGCTGTTGTACTTGTAGACAAGTGTTTGTTACAAAGTTTGTGATACGTTGTGACATGATCCGTTAGTCAGTAGCCAAATATCCCATTAAGTATCGCTTTCGTAGATAAATGGTACTAAAGCTAGAAGTTATAACGAGTTTCCTTGAAGTGCAAACAACACGTAAGATCTTTGAGTTTTCATCTGTTTACTTATGATGCAAGTAACTCAAAACAGTAAAGGTTTCAGAAATCTCTGAAACTCATTTTTGGATCGACAGCTTTGGAGCCTCTTCTCCCTCCTCTGCCTCGGCCTCTCCCTCGTCCCCTTCCTCTTCCTCCACGCCTCACAAAGGACCTCCCATGTTTCACTTCAACAAGTGAGAGAAGCAACTCATCACACAGAACACACCCTTGATGCAGAGTGGCTCCGTTCTCCAGAGGAGTGGTTTTCTTGTTGAAGTCGATCTCTATGATAGCCGAATCGCAGTCGGGACAGCGGTTGCTAGTGGTGGCGATGCGGTGAGCACCTTCCGGAAGCAAAACGATGCAGCTACACAAGTTGCAGTTGAGTTTCCACTTGGGGAAGCTCACCGGGTCCAAGACGAGTGTGCCTTCACACTCTGGACAAGCGCAGACTCCTTGGTTTCTCAAAGAGTGTTGGCAAGTAGGATGAGGACAGAGAGAACACGGCATGCCAGCACCGGTTTTAGAAGCGTTGGCCGTCTTAGTTGCTCCAAAGAGTGTGTCTATGCCTTCGAATGGAGGAGAGTTGTAGCAGTACGGACATAGTGGAAATGACTTCCCCTCGGGTCCTGGAACTGAATAGATCACGAGCTCAAAGTTGTCTAAAGGACATGTGAGTTCCTTGTATAGCTGTAAGAAAATCAGAGAACAAATGAATCAGATTCAGCGTAAGAGTTTAGGTGGATGAAAGGTTTTTACCTTGACGGTCCCCTTTTGAGGAAGATAATAAACTTCTTCGCACGTGCCACAGAAGAGACGTGGTGGGTTAGCTGTGATGTGTTTCATGTAGCGCAAGCATTTTCCACATTTGCTTAACGCGCGGCCAGAATCAGCCTGAGGAGAGAACTGTGATTCAAAGAGAGCATCCATGTGTTCGATCTGTAAAAGACAATATAACACAAGCCAAGTTTAAAATCGAAGACTTTATTAGACTAATGCCTTTAAGGAAAACATAACACATAGGCCACTTTTCCCCAACCTGTTGAACAAAATAACTGAATTTACGCCGGAATTGCTGAATCACATGTTGCACAACGTGTGAATGATCAGCTTGGCCCTTGGCAACAAGAGTGATTTGTTGCTCGATAAAGCTCCGGATGTCTGGTAAGCAGAGGTCTGGATCAATACATTGGTAGCCTCTTATCAGCGTGATCCCTAGTGCCGTTGGAACCAGTTTCCTTCCAGATTGGACCTGCAAGAGAACGAAACACCAAACAAGAATAACGAAATTTCTCAGAAAACAAAAATAGATCCTCCTGAAATGAGTAAGTAACATGATAATCATGAAGAAATGCACACCGCCTTTGAGTTAAACCCACCTGAACATAATTACGTTCACCAATGTTGTTTATATGCACAGGTATTGATGCATCTGTGCCTATGCCATGCTTCTCCATTAGAGATATCAGCTCACTCTCAGTAAGGAAGTCAGGAGGTGCAGTGTTCCCCTGTAGATTTTACAAGATTCACAGACAAATAGAAAGGATAAAATAAAACTGGAAACATTAAAGCAATTTGTGTTCTTGTACAAGGCAATGAGAGCAGGGAACCGAAGGAGAAGAATGTAACCTCGTACAGCTCCACTCTTGAAACTTCAATCTTCTCTCCTTTGAGAAAAGTAGGGAGTCTTTTCTCTTCTACTGCAGACCATGGCATTATAGCTGTAAACCCCTTTTCTGTCACACGCTGGCCCGTACAATGGAAAGTTTCCCCACCAATTGACAATTCCACTTTAGTCCTGAGATTCCATCCAAGAGAATACTACATATAAGATGCGCAAAGAATAACTGTAACTGGAATGGATCAAGCTACAAAAAAGGCTACCTTATGTATTTGCAGTTAGGTGAGACGGTGCCAATAAAATGTTGACAGACATACTGATAGACTCGCCAAGCATCTCCTCCGACACTGGCCTCAGTTGCTGCTCGCATTGGGGTGATAGGAGGATGGTCTCCAGCATCGGTTCCTGACTTTGGCTTATGAATACCGTCTGAGAGCAGTCTCTGTACGTAACCACCCCATGCTGGATTACTAACTTGTGCTCTGAGTGTATCCGTGAAGTCGAATGAAGAAGGATAGGCTGTGCTTTCCGTGCGCGGATAGCTAGCACAAAACATAATAGTTTTGAGTCAAAAAAGTTCTATCACCATAATAATAACAGGAAAAAGGTTTCAATGGGAAAAATATGATATATGTATATCCTCATCAGCAAAGGTTGAGGACATACATACATCATCTGAATCACACAAACGAAACTACCATTCATTAACGATTTAGGATCTACCAAAACTAGCCAATTATATGCTGGTAAAGAGGAGTTAAATGACAAAAATAATGATCTGGATTCTAGGGAAATGGAGCATGCGAACCTTATGAAGCCTTGTGTATACAATCGCTCTGCAAGATGCATAGCCGTCTGAGGCCCAAATCCTAGAGCACTTGAAGCAACCTGTGTAACCGCTACTGTTATGCTAGATCAGGGAGAGTTATTGAAGTAGTGAGCCAGATTAAGAAATGGCAAAAGCTCTACCCGGAACAAAATCGAAAACCAAAAACAGGATAAATAACACAAGATAGCCAAACTCATCCCCAAAAACAACCATGAAGCTGATGAAAACAAAATTGCTTTGGATGAAAGCAAAATATAACTTTTTCCAGTCTGTGTTTTGCGATCATTAGTACAGGATATGGCGTTCCCCTAACGTATAATGTACAACCAGACAAGTTCATTTTGGAGGAACAGTAATCACGACCCGTGAGTTCTCTCACCTTAAGCAGATTCACTGTGTTAAGACCAGCTGGACGACCTTTGACTTCCTGCTTTTCTGATACGTCAATTACTTTTGCAGTTCTGCCTTCCACGACCAACTTTTGAAACACAGTAGCAGCCTACAATTTTTTAAAGCATGAATATATCTGCAACGCGAGAGCAACAGTCAAGAATGTCAAAGAAATTTAACACAGGAACGAAGCACTAACTTCCAGGTCGAACAGTCTACGTCTCTCCCACTCTAGTTGAAGCTCATAACCATCCTTTAATAGTTGAGGTCGCAGAGCCCAAAACTTTTCTGGCTTGAAAGTATTAATCTGCATGTACCGTTGCACACAAAACCCAAGAGTAGGAGTCTGGCATGGCCCATAACTGAAATAAACATTTAAGAAGATCTTTGAGTAGTTTAAACAAAAAACAGATGGATACAGTGACTTAGCATTTACATCTCGGACGCTCTAAATGGAAGAAGACAACCACGATAGAATTCTAGTCACATCTTAAATGATTCAACCATCTCAAAAACCCCAAAGAAAGAAGAAAAAAATGCATCTGGGCTCGACAAGAAAATCTACTTTACTTTTCCGAGAATCTTTACACACGAAACAAAAGAAAGGCAAGGAAGGGGACAAGAGGAAACTGACGAGATAACTCTGCAGTCTAGCTTCTGATATTTTCCTTGGAAATAACTTGTTTGGAATCGCGAGAATGCTACACCAACTTTTAGATCTATCTCTTGACGAGCATCTACTGCCAGTGCCTCATTCCTGTTTGGTTCAGCAAGGTTTTCCATGGCCTTTGATATATCTTTCTCAGTAACAGAAGAAAATCGTGCCCGGTAAACCTTTCTCTTAGTATCTTTCATGTCAAAGCCAGTGCACTCGATAACTACACAAATTAGAATGGTCAACAAGTTATAGCAGCGGCCATCAAAACCATGTGCATTCCCAAATATGAGTGGCATAGAAAAAAATACTTTTGCAGGAGAATAAAGGTTAAGATGTTGGTGGTTGCACCACATATGCAGGAGCAGACTGTATAACTGAATCCGCATTCTACTACCATAACTTAAAGGGTCTACCATTGGATACTACATTGATATACAGATTCAACAGTATAGTATGTTTTCTTTAGCATAAACGGAAAAGAAAGTATATTCATTGATTCAGTAATTACCAGTACAATAGAGGCAAAGATTAGAAACAATAAAGTATGTATATTTCAATCAAAAGCTGGTAAAAAGCAATGTGAAAAACAGTAATTATAGTCTTACCTTCAAAACATATATTCTCTCCTTCACGATCACAATCCAACCACAACACCATATAACTGCAACCACGAGCTTCATTGCTTAAATGCCTACAAATATGAGCCTGAGATTTGAAGACTGTTAGAGAAAAGTGCACCTTAGCGTAGAAATAAAAGAAGCAAGTAGCATATAACCACTAGAATGATGAATGCCTACTATGAACTACTAAACATACGGCATAATTCGTGTTCCAAAATCCATGCAAATCGTTTACTCATAACGCAAAAAAAGCTCATCCAACGTATACTGATTTGCTATACAATATGTACTACCGCTGCCAATGTCCAAAGTAAAAGCCAAAAGCCCAAAAGTTCAGCTCAAGCACTCCCCATGCACAGAGAAAAGAGAGATAAGATCGTGAGAAATACTTACCTTTGGGTTTGACTCTTTTTTCTGGATTGGAGCGTCGAAAAGATCTTGGGGATCAATAGTTGACCAATTCTGATATTTTTCTGGGAAATCTGCACTAGAATAT